GTCGGTGAGCAAATGAATATTGACCTCGGTCGCAGAAACTTAGATCATTAGTTCGATAAATCTAGTGCACGTTATATTTTGATGGCAGCGGTCTACCTCTCCCGCTGGAACGCGAGATCAGACGCCGAACTACACGACACCTTTATGAGTTTCCCCATCAAGGCATCTCCTCCTAAGAAACACCGCCGGTTCAGTTACCACCTGATCTCCCGACATTTGGGACAGAGTAAAACGTGTAAGTGCACGTACGTGTGTGTGTGTGTGTGTGTGAGTGTGCTAGTGGAGAACAGTGAATAAAGAAGAGGAAGGTAAGAATGTTGGGATTCGTGGCTCGTTTCGTAGCTTCAGCATTTGCATTGTCGGAGAAACCACGGGAAACTAGCGACCACGGCAACCGGTCGCTAGAATCCTACTCTAGACAGTGGTTGAATTCGAATCTTTCTGATCATTCCTAATTGACAAAAAATGCAGAAAATTCACCGTGTATTCATTTATTATGTCGCATGATAGAGTCGGCGACTGTCAGAACAGAAATCAGAGGCAATATTGAAATACTGTCAAATATATGTGAGTAATATTAACATTTATCGTTTATCTTAAGGTTAACTCTTAGAGATAATGTGTCATCAAACAGAAACAGACTTCATAGAACAAAGAGCAAGAGGCTCGTCTCCTTCCTAAGAGTATGTTACTCTTACTCTTTTCCAATATCTCTTATATAATGGAGCGGATTCCGAAAAATTAGTTTAAAAGAGGTGAAAAGAAGTCATCGGAAGAAAATAAAACAGTAGAATTACTTACAATAATTAATTACATAATCAATTAATAAACAATTACAAATATATTCATTTGAAACTTCGGGTGTTATTGCGAATTGAAGTCGATATTTTAATTTTTGTAATTAATATAGTCTTGGCTAATTGAAACACGACTTTTAAAATTAATATTTCTATGGAAGAGTAATCTTCTCCGGACGAAATTGTAGAATCAAATGTATCAGATTTTTTCAGAAAATACTGCGTCCATTTTGGGAAAAGTGTTCTTTTCATTTCAACTATGTGCAAAAACATGTATAATTTAAATATATGTATATTAGGACGTAATTTGAAGTACTTGTTTTTCTAAATTAATAATGAATTGTGTCTCTAACTTAAATATTATAGATATACGAGTTTCGAAATGCATTAAATCAATTTTCGAACATACCGTTTTTGTATAAGAAATGTCCATGTACAATTGGTCGCTATCACCATAAAAATACACTACAAATTCGGAGTCGTTTGAAAAAAAATCTCTTGAGAAAACTTGTGTATTTTATGAAAGATATTACATATTTATTTGACTTCACTTTCATAGTCAAACAAGAGAATGAGGTAGAGTTGAATAGAGTAGGTAGAATAGTAAGAATACGCGAGGGCTCGTTAAAAAGAAAGTAGTTTTAACCATTTTTATAAATTGTCAAAAATAGTATCCTTATTTTACATTGGACAATGCTAAAATTAGAACACAAAGTTAAAAAAAACACAAGCAACATGATACAAGAGGCTGTTCACAAAGAAGACGGAGGAAAATACAAAAGTAAGAGTCGGTGGTGAAGTGCAAATATTCAAGTTACATATAGCATCAAAGATCTAAGAAATAACATCATAAAACAGTGAAAGGCTGTGAAGAAAGAAGGTACCATTGTAAAAAATATTTCGAAATAATGGTGTGGTGACAGATGTGAAACCCTACTTTTGAGTTCTCTATTCATTGAAGTACATTGTACAATATTGCATTTTTTTACTTGACAGTAGAAATACATTAATGCTGAACATTTCAAAGAAATTCTTACAAGTTCCGCGAAGAATTTGCAATAAAATAAAATAAAGTGGACGGGATTCAACAAGGAACGTTCTCCAGTTCGGCTCGCTACCGACTGGAAAAGCGGAGAATTTCAGAGTTCCAGCTCAGTTAGCTCATTTCGTAGACTGGTCGTTCGCGAGAGATTTTTTACGTATTTTTCGCAACGTGTTATCGCTGTACCTATTCTGCCTTACGTATAGTATATGTATACGTCAATGAACTCTGCTTAAATGACTAGTTTAATATCGATTTACTTTTGATTACCCGAACCTGGATTAACCCTCGTCTGTCGGAAAGTCCATTACATGATACTTTTTGAGCATAGAAACAAGAGATGAAGCAAGTAAATGCTAACAAAAATACGGAGAAAAGCAGGATACCCAGATTTGAAAAATTTTGGCTAATTTGGAAAGTTTTTATCACGAAAGAATAGAGTAAAATTCTTTCAATATAAACCTTTGGTTGCAGATGAACTGAACTCTTCGCAGAACAATCTCTTTAAAATGTCACGTGCTAGGGCATCATTTATTTTTCTCAGCTACCGATTTTCGCAACGACTGACAAACATTTCTTGATTAAAACTATCAAGTGAGTCGATAAGTGATCTCCACTCAAGTGTTGAAGCGTTACGTGAAAGGTAATTTTATCGCAAGTGTCATCTGCACCTCGTGAATCCCTCTATGCCACGTGCTCTGCACGTGTAATTCCAAATACACATAGCAGTTCATATTACTATGCGCCAGTAATACTTGACTTCTTCAGACACTTGAGTTACATATTTTAGCTGGAATATCTAAAACGTAACCTTCTTGTACATCCAATATATTTTTGTGTGCGCTCGTCATCATTCAACTGGATATTTTTATCCAATATTTACAATAAATATAGCAAGAAAACATTGGTACTCATTTGGAAAGAAAGATGAGTGGATCTTAGTACCGCCGTTAATAGGTCATGACCGGATAACAAATCTTCACCTATCCTGGGATTTGAACCCGGATCCCTCAGATTATCTTTTGGCAAATCATGGTTTAAATTGAAAAAAATGTGAAAATACAATAGCTTTAAACTGGAAGCTACGTGTGTGGGTTCGGATGGCCGAGATCAATAAGGCAGTATCGATGTCGGACCGATAGATTCGTGGGTTCGAGTTCCGTCTCGGTCATGGTTGTATTTGTGTTCGTCCCTTCACCCACTATCACCACAATATCACGTCATCTTTACAGTTACCGTACCGTCAAATGCAATAGTGGTCGCAATGACCTAGATGACGATGCAACCTTAAATATAAAAAATGTGTGTGCTGCAAAGTAACATGGTGTTGCAAGTTGTATACAGATCACCTGTTTCCCTTATACGATAATTCGCGAATATGAATTTTTTTTCGTCTTAAATATGTTTGATATAGTCCGTGAGAAAATTACGTATCCAATAGTGTCACATTTTTTTCTGCTCTTTTCTAACGTCCGGTGCTACAGATTTAGAATCCTCGGACGAGCCAAAGCTCCAAGAATGTAATATAAGGGAAGCAAGGCATTTTTTATAGAATACGTATAAAATCAGGAGTCGGGATACATTCAGGTTCCCTGCATGCTACCATTTACGTTTCTCGTATCTTCCCCATGTGCCGGCCCACGATCATCTATCTTGCTCAGTATGTTCCCTAATTGTTTCCCGAATGTTCTTTGGATGTGCCCCGCATGTTTTCCAAAATTTCTAGGCAGGTACAAGGAGTCTTCACTGGCTGATTCTCTACATTTTCAGCTCAAAATTTAACTGAAAATGCATATATTTTTCGGGGGTTGCGAATTGGCCATCTCGGGACCACGTAAACGTGCAATCCACGTGGACTCAGGCATATTTATTGAGGGTAGGAGCATGCTACTTTTATGGGGGATCAGTATTTTCATTCTGAATTTGTTTTTACACTTACGGTTAGCGAAATTATGATAATGGAATACGAAATGGACAATCACAAACACAATACACAAGTACAACCATGCCAGAGGCGGGACTCTAACCTGCGATTCTTCGGACAAAGACCGCCACAGCATTACCGTCTTAGAGATCTCGACAATCCGGATCGGATGTATTTATGTTGGTTATTTATGTTACGAAAACGTTCCTACACTTTAAGGTGACGAAGGGTGCAGTCGCTACCCTGACGGATAAAACTAGAAATTCTAGAGTACTCAGAAGAACTGAATTTCTAAAAATACAATAGAAAGACCTATATTACATCCCACAAAGTCGCTGTCTCAAAAAATGGAATTTTTAAATAACTGTTAGTGAAAATAAGGCGGTTTTACGAGCCTAGTACGCTTCACTTTTGTGTTACGCACAAGGATAACGCATGACGCAAAGTGTCATGGTGATCCAGGTTGTAAATTATTTATGCCGTTTCCCTTAAACTATAATCCGCAAATATATCTTTTTCGTCTTAAATCTGTTTGAAGCAGCTCATGGGAAAAATTTCATAGCCAATAGTACACATTTATGTGGTTGTTATGATGGTTTCTTATAAGGAGAGGACTTAGAAACATACGTGAAATTACAACACAGCGTAGTACAGAGAAAATATAATTATAATGAACATTATTTTTCATATTCTGCACATAATTGTAAGTACCAACTTCGTAAAAATGAAGACACATATATCATAGGGTCTTGTAATACAAATAATCGTATGTAATACAAAAAAAACGTATTTTCAATACAGTAGAATAAAATAGTGTACTCTAGAAATATTCTAAATGTCAAGCAGATTACGACTCAGGGTCCTTGTACGGTAATATTGCACTTCATTTTGATATCTTCACATACTTTACAACTTGTGCATTATTTTCCATTGGGATTTTCAAGATAAGATACTTTCTCTCAAGCCTAGAAACTTCTTTAGTAATCTCCGACCCCACATAAATACTTTTACTGCACCTCTAACATGTCTTCCACGTGCCTTCCATGTGCTCGATAAGAGAGTGCGGTCACTTTATCACGCGCAGGACAGAGGCATTTGATCCAAAATTATATTAAGATTGTTTTCGGATCTAATGCCAACCGATGCTCGTGTGGGCGTGTTCGCGATAAGGTCGAGAGGATAAGGATAAAAAGAGGCTTGTCCAGAAGAGAGGAAGCAGTCTCCTCCTGAGAACAACATGCGTACCCTGACCGCACTCGCAATCCTTGGAACCCTGCTCGCCGTGGGCTGGGCCCAGAAGGACCCCAACTGGACCGAAGGGCGAAGCACCATCGTCCACCTCTTCGAGTGGAAGTGGTCCGACATCGCCCAGGAATGCGAGCGCTTCCTGGGGCCATACGGATACGCAGGCGTTCAGGTTAGTTAATAAACATTACTCCTATTCGAAGAAATACATTTTTCTTTAGAATTTATTACAGAAAAATATATTATATTTTTTTTAAATATTAAAATGACACTAGTTACAAATTATATAATGTTTAAATTTGAAAATCAAACTAGAATATTTATCAACGGTCAAGGAAAAATGCTAGAATAAAAAAATCAAAAACACTCAAAGGGGATTCAACATTTCCAAATACTTCTTCAGTATAACAAACTGAAAATTAGCAATAAGCGATTTAAAATATGTTGTGGTTCTATAATACACCGTACGTTAATTACTAAATCATTCTTTAACTTCGAGATATCATAAGGATTTCAATGACTACTATTATCTCCAAACTAAAGAAAGAACATTTTGCAGACCTCCCCTGCCAATGAGAACATTGTGCGGAGTGGCTCGCAGTAGGTGCTTGGGGGGAGGCAGTCTGCAAGGAACACATTGTGATCACCTGACGTACATCAATCATCACACAAAATAGATATTATTTTACCTCATCAATATTACTGAAGAGTCTGTGAAGATGTAGTTACCTTGGTGAAGCAATGGCCCTTGTTTGTCTGGAGAAGGCAATTTGGTTTGTTTCGTTGTCCCACCAATTCGCCACTGAGTGACTGGATTGTTTCATTGTTACAATGACGTTTGATTCTTATATTACTAATATTTAATATTCAAAATTCATGAATATTTGTAGGCTTAATTGAGCGTACTTCAGTGGACTTATTGAAGGCCATGTTTTGTATAATCGCTCCAGCGGTGCTCGCAACCCAGCTCGTTGGCGGGTGAGGTCGCTTGTTGATGATGACGTCCTTGATGTTGCGTTGCCGTCACTGGGGACCGGCATGCGGTATTAGAGAAGTCGTAGCTGGACTGACGCGAGTGACTCCGGTACGGCAGGCTTGCTGAATGCCACGGCATCTGGAAATAGAGAATGTTTTCACATATACTGATAGCGACAAGTTGAAGTGAGATTATGAAATAGGTTCTCATTTTGTACCGGGCTTGAGGATTTGTATGCTCAAAATGGATCCCAGCTCCACATGGCTTTTGGTTTGTCGTGGTTGTAATTTGAAAGCCCAATGCCATCGTCACGTCATTTAGGCTTTTGGTCTGATCGAGAAAATAGATACTTTTAATACCGTCGTATTCAATCTGCTTTCAAACTACTACTGCATTTAATCCCTTCTTACAAAGTTAGTCAGCCACTTGAGTGGTTGTTGCCTGAAAACTCCCCGCTTAGTTTCGAGACCATATTCTGAACTCGTCACTCGACGAAGCTGGGTGTATTGTAGTTCTTGTGCAAGCTTTCCGTCCATTAAAAAGGAAATACATTTCTTTATGTTAGTGTATATCAAAGTAATAATGAAAAGCAGAAACGCTCTGCTGTTTGTTGCCTTACACATATCTGATGACATTTCTTGGAAGAAGAAAGCTGCTGATGCGCCTGCTGCGAATCCATGGTTGGTGTTTGAGGTTTCTTCACTCTGCCGTAGATGATCTGCAAATCTCAGGCCACCATGTGTTTAGCTTTGCGTCCACACTGCAAAGAAAAGTTCTTCGTTGAATGTTGTCAGTTCTGTTAATCGTGAGAAACAACCTTTTTTGTTCGAAACGATACCGGATCGCGGTGACCTCCAAATGACGAGGTGTGTCAGGGAACTCGACACGACCTTCTGGGTACCAGTCCTTGCCTTGATTTAGGTCTTTCAAGCTTACTCAAGTTCACCAGTCGACACTGGAAATAATTTATGATGTGACTGACGAATTGCCAACAAATGTAATGGTAATACCGAGGTGAAATGAGAATGTTTTAATTATTCATTGAAATGCATAACCTCTTTGGGCTTGTTTTGTATTATTGACGCTACAAGTAGGATTGAAAATCTCCCGGGCCGTAGGGCACGCAGGGTATGCTTGTTTTTGGGTTGCAGTGGGGCCACCATCCGTATGCATTTGTTAGCGTCCGCAGCCATGTGGTTGAAAACTACGTCACGTAATCCTGTTGACGGATTATCGTGAGTTACGTGCACACCAGTGTGAGTCGCGCTCGTGGCGAGCGACGGTTGATGTCTCTCGTTTACATGACGCCGACGTTGTTTGAGCGGCGCACCATGTCTGCGAACGCGCTCGTCTCCGGACTGGGTGACCAGCTTGTAGGGGATGGGCTGGTAGCGCGTCTCCACCACGGACGACCACTCC